GGGGGGGGGAAGTATATATAAAGACCAAAAGAATGTGGTTTTCAGATAAAATTAACCACTAATATCTGAACAGATTAATGGTGAAGAGCACACTGCTAAAGGATGGAAGCCTGTTAATAGCCACAGACATCAGTATCAGATGACAGGCTCTCTTTGGAAAAGACTTGCATATGCAAGATAAAAGTCCTCTAGATATAAGGGCACAAACATACAGCAGGTTTGGAGCAAACTAGAATGCAGAAATACACTGTACTACTGCTTAGTAGTACAGATGCCATCTGTTACTTTTTCAGAAAACCAAGTATTACATTTTGCAGTATTCAAGATCTTATGGCTGGTAATGGTCTGATCTACTGCCCATGGCAATTGACTCTTCCCATAGTCAGACCCAGGCAGATGCCATTTTTCATGGATGAATTCTGGCACCTGAAATCTCTGAGAATTCTGAGATTGGTAGGGCAGTTTGATAATACAACCTGTAAACTAAAACATACATTTAAGTATTGCTCTTGATCCTACTCTAAGGGAGAAGAAAGGTCAGAAATCAGTTACAATTTTGTTAACTACTTCTTTAAAGGCCAAAAGATGAGCAATAGATCGATATACTAGAAGCACTGCATTATATAATAAAAAATAACATTTAGAATCGCAGAACATGCAGTCCTTCAGACACCAGACCAAGAACGATAGCAAGGGTGTGTGTTTGTACTCTAAAATGGAAGCTCATCCAGCCTCTTGCAATTAAAGAAATGCAGGACTTTGGAAAAAGTAATGGGTGGATTCTCTTCTCATACTGTCAAGAGAATGTGAACAATACGTTAAAAATAAAAACGCCTCAAGTAACACATAACATATAGCCAAAGCGTTGAGCAACAGGTGTGAAGTGTGACTGTTCAGTACTTCTACAGAAACTATGAGCATATAAGGAAAGAAGGATGATACTTGATTTGACTGCCTTACCTCTATGAACTTGCCGAGGGTTGCATTGGTTGGGTTGTGAGTGATCAGGAAACGCATATTCTCATACGTAATTTCCACGGGGGCTGGACGGTTCATAATGGCAAACAAAATGTGTAAGGGGCCAAAAAAAATAAAACTTAAAAAAAAAAAAATCAATAACCTTGGAAACGTTTCACAGCAGAAAACATTAAAAAGACCACTAAAATGCCTGGGATTGATCAGAGCTTGTTTTGACGTGTTTGTTCCTTAAAGAATTCGCTTCTAGAAAAGCAGGTTTGCTTCAGAATCCACTTGAATTCAACTTCGGCCTCAATTACTGCAGGTGGTATCCTTCAGACTCCAAAAACTCTGACTACATGCAAGACTAGGCAGCCTGTTCTACATTTAGGCACTGGTGAGGCAAAAAAGTAAGGGCAGATTTTCTCTCCACTTTGTTTTCTTGATGCTTAGTTTTGCTAGAGTCAGTAAAAGGAATATGCTTCCAATGTGCAGAAGATATCCCATATATTTGGGTGTGTTTGCTGTGTCTGGAGTCTTCAAGGCAAAGTAATTATGGCACGTAGAACCCCCTGCGCTCAGCTCACTTGTCAGCCAGGATGCTGTGCTGGGCCTGGCAGAAGTCTGCCCTCACACTCAGAATCGCCATAAATGTGCGACGTATATTCCAACAGAACACCTAAAGAGAAGAAAAATATCACGTAAGAGAATTTCTTGCTCCTACTTCCAGAAACACCAAATATCAACTCCCCCAGAGAAACTCAAATCAGAATAAATAAGACTATGTTTTAAAAATAAACACACACAAAAAAAAAAATCAGTCTTCACTGGAGTGCCAATAGTTGTAATCCCGCATATTCTTTCGGCATTGAGTATGCTCTAGCCCAGAGACACGGGACTTCTTGTAACTGCTGTTGCTGGCAGCCAGGCACCGGAACCGAGAACAAGGAAACCTTTCTGTGCTCTCTGCGGTCCCTCCCTCCCAACCAGGTGCCCTAGAAGCAGAGAAAATAGCACAAAGCCAAGTACATGCCTGAAAGCGTCTGTTTGTACAGTCATACCTGTTTGGCTTAAGCCCAAACATGTAAAAAAATATTGTTGGTATGGCTTTATTTTCTGAACAAAATAAGCCGAACAAGGAGAAATAAGAGTACAACTAAACTGCCATATATTCGAGTTTTTGCTAGCCGATAAATTTCACCAACACTGTTGTATCACCAAACTCCCAACAGTAGTAGGGAGATATCCTCCAGAAATCAGTCATTTCAAGAGCAACCAAATGGTCATTTAGCAGTAATAACTTTCAGTTATTCTCAGTCTTATCTGTGTTTACAGACTAGGGCATTAAGACAGCAGCAGCTCCTAGTCCTAACACACAGGATTCAAAACACAGATGTTTCACGAACAGCAATAAAAGATGGAACAATTTAATTCTACCATGAAGTTTAGAGGGATGAAAATGGAGCTAACTGAAACTCGCTCATTTAACGCTGAAATACTGAATAAGCAATACGGCTTTTCACTGCATTTAAAAAGCGTGAAGTCAAAGAATCACTACTGACACTTCTTTTTTAGGGAGAAAGTTTTAAATCAGTTGAATAAAATCCAAACTAGCAGCCAGAAGTCACAAACCTGCAACTCGAGCGGAAAGGTCAACGTGGCACACTTAAGTGAATACAATTAGGGAAAAACACACATGCATGGAAGTTCACACCCCAAAACTTCTGGTGCACTCAACATTTTAATGAGATCCTCACTTTAAAGTAGTCAAATTAGGTACTAAAAAAATTACCTTTTTCACTGACATGAAGTAAAAAAAAAAAAAATAAATCACCCAAAATCGAGCAATTATTTCCTTAAAGAACAGCTTTCAGTGCCAAAAAATACATTAATTAGGTTGCCAGAAGCAAGAACAAAGATGTTTTCAATAACCTCCCCCGACCTTAACGCAGTTCTTACTCTGAGTGACTGAAATGCAAATTTCAAAAATGAATCCTGGAATATTTTATCAGCGTAACGACACAGGATTAAGTCTCACCCCAGATGGAAGAGTCCCATCTAAACACATCATACTCAAGTCCTTACACTTGTCAATTCTCTCACACATACTGCCAAATCTCAAAGCAAAGGCTTTGTTAAAGTGTATTACAGTCTGCTACAGTGATGATGTACCACAAACAGAATGGCTAAAGTTACAGTACCCACATGTGTTCAACACCTGTAAAACTTGATGCAAGGAACTCTTTTTTTAGGCCAATACTGGCCTGGTTTTCCCATTTGAACATACGCTCCAGTCATCTGACATGTCCTGGAGAGTGACCTGCAGACTTACATCACAGGGACAGTTTCAAAATTAACTTTTGAGGACCTAACAAGGTTATTTAAATAAAAAGAGTGGTCAATAGATCTTGGCATAGGAGATCAAAACTTGGATCCAGAGTACCAGAGGATTACAGCATTACAAAGTACATTGTCGCCAGGGGAAGAGCTATTGTGTCATATTTAAACAAATCCTTTAAACATTTTTCTTCTCAGCACACATAATTTGGTTGGAAGAGCCTCATCCAGTGCTATTTGCACTGTGAGTTGTATCAAACCAGCTCATTATGGTTACACTTCTCCTCCCTCAAGCAAATCACAGAGGGAATTTCAACCCAATTATTTTAAAAGTCTTTTGTAAAAACGATTTACCAAGTCATCAAGAAAGGGCACAGGGAGATGACATGTTCCAGTAAATTAAGTATGGCAGCAGAAGCCACCAACTCAAGTCCTACTCTCAGAGCTGCAGCTGCTCGTGGTCCGACCTTGGCCAAACCACTTTCAGTGGCTCAACTCATCTGCAGAACAGGAATGACACCATCTTACCTTCCTTCCCCAAAGGAGTATTACTGAAGTATTTAATTAGCTAATAGCTAAGGAGTGATTAAAAATGTAAAGCACTGTACTTAAGTCTGAAAAATTATTTCCAGAAGGATAAGAAGTTTATGCAGCACACAAACCTATTTTTAAAAGTTTGGTTACTGACACGTATATCCCTTCCTCCCAGGACTTTTAAGCTACAGTTTAAAAAGAAAAACCAGGCTTCTAATTAAGAAAATGAAAAACAGGAAAAACCCTATTGTCTACAAGTTCTGATCTCCCCAAGTAAATACTTAAAAATTTCTTCCTCCCTATGTTAGCAAATTTGCACTTCAAAATCCCAAGAGAACCGAGCACTATCAAACAGATGACAATAAATAATAACCAGGTCTATGCATAATGTAAAACAAGAAATAATTTTTCAGCCAATTAACCTTCAACTTTTTATGCTTAGAAAGTGAGATAGCACACGGAGAGAAGCAAAAAAAATTACAACATGTTTAATGTGGTTGGCCTCTAAAAGGCAGCAGAGGTATCCAACACGTCAACGCTATTAAGTGCGAAAGCTCCGTCAGGAACCAGAGGAGGAGGAAGAGCAGAGACAGCAGGATAAACAAGCCAAGCAATAACCATTCATGCATCTGAAAAGAACTAGATATGCTTGGGAGTCAGTTCCTGATGTTGTTTGACTTAATTATCAGGGAATAATCATCAATCAAGATGCCTATCTATACAACCAAGTTTAGTCAGCTGTGACAGTGTCTGTACCTACAGACAGGATTAATTTAAGTTATAACTAACAGCAGCACTGTGTGCTCCCTACCTCTCACGCTCACGCAGCCATACATGCTGAGACAGCTTGATAAAGCCTAATGAGGCCAATTTGAGAAGAATGTCTTTCAAAATACTATGAACATGCAAGAATATGCTTAAACCATAAGCAAGGGGCAGTCGTATTAACTAGCATAAATAAATCACAGTGATTAACTAATTAAGAGAGAAGAGTTAAATGAATTCCTGACTTGACAGAAGCTTCGCTTGAGATTGCCTTAAGTAGAAATCCAACACACCTACAATATTCATCTCCAGTGGCCGCCTCGTCTATCATCGCTTTGACTCCTCAATTAGATACTTCAACTCTTCTGTACAGAGCCATACAATTTCAGGGAGACAGGTCTAACGAAAAACAAGCAGTAACACCGTAAGGAATTTCTAGCTCCACCATCTCCTTCAAAACACACCGGTAAAAGTGCTGCCTTAGCTACACTGAGACAGCGAAACAGCCTGCAACAGCTGCAGCTTCCAGAGATTGCAAAACATGGATACCTTTGGGAAGGTCATTTGGATCACCTTTCAAAATAACCAAGCACACAGGATGCACAGCAAAGCCCACTAATTTGTCAGTCAGTATTAAAAGAATACTTCAGTGTTTTGAAGACCAGTGTTTTCAAACCATCTCAACTAGTTCTGTTCCTGTAAGTGGGAATCCACATTTGACGTTAACAAAGTTAGGTCACGAGCTGCTGAATTTTCCCCTTTTTCCTCTTCCATAATACCGCATTCTTGTAGTTAGCATTTACACACGTGAAATCAGCACCACAGCCCACTGATGGTACATGACTTGATACCATAAAAACTGCCATCCTGACATGGCCCTGCAGCCCAGTCGGGCTTTTCCCCACGCTCCGCATACATCACATTTCACTTCCCCTTCCTGCATTGCCTGCTAAGTGACCCACATACTACCAAAATGTCCCGTTTCATCTGGAGTGCACAAGGTGCTTTGCAAGTGAAAGAATTCACCACGACCTCCAAAATGAGCCTTAAAACAGTGGAAACACACGTTAGCAAGAACCAAAGCAACCATCTTTTCCAAAATATACTCTCCTAGTATACAAAGAAAAGAAACTCTGGAACTAACATTCTGGGACAAAAATCTTGAACACTCTCTGAAGGAAGCCTGCTCAGAATGACACGTGCCTAGAGAGGGGTGAGTCAAAAATTTTACTGTTCCACCCTATCCACTCCCACCATGGAGCTCCCTCCCAGCCTGCTGACAAGTTCTGCAGGGTGACTCATTCGTTTCCTTTTGCACTAACCCAATCGCTCTGTCCCGGGCCATAAAACCCACAGCAGCAGATAGAGATCTGCCTTAGCAAGGAAAAAAAAAAAAAAAAAAAAGAGTCCAGATTAAAGATGTCTCAACTTAGAAGTGACACATCAGGAAACAGTAAGAACCGTCAAACGTACCATGCAAGACTACTCAGTGAGAGAACAATCCTGCAGCAAAACTCAAAATTGAGTACTATGCGGAAAAAGTTTAGCTGCCATCCCTAAATTTGGGTGAGGTCAAACCACTATATCCAACACAGGCATCCAGGCACAAAGATCATCATCCTGGCGAGCTCAGCAGTGGAAAGCAACTAGATACTGCATTAGCTCTTTCAGAAAGAATTGATAAGCATGCGTGCTTTACGCTTCATATCTTCTCTTTCCTGTGAAATACAACCTGCTTCATAGTTAAAAATGCTGTTCCGACACAGGAATTTTTTGAATGCCTTCCCCACCCACCATTTAGTTTTTAAAAACCCTTCGGAGGACACATTTGAATGTCATTTACATACCATGCCCAAAAAGTTTAAAGTTACTAGAAGTGTTTGAACTCAAAACCAAAAGGCCCTGCTAAGAAAAAGAAATTTAAGCTATTATCCCATTTAAATTACAGAATTATATTCAAGTAAAATCAAAAATTACTTTAGACAACAGTTCATGAGTATGTGACACTAATAACTAATTCCTAAAACTCAGAATGCTGAGTCG